GATGTAGATACAGTTTCTTCATTGTCAAGAGTATCACACATGCCCCACTCAGAGAAACATCCGGGAAATTTACCACTGGCCTGTGCACAGGCTCATCTCGTGCTCTTCCTGGACTCCTTTCCAGCCCATCCTCTGATTACAGCCCATTTATCTCTTTGAGACCTTCTTGGCCTCACCTCTGATTTTTTAAAATTTTCTTCTCCTCCTCTAAAGTGCTTGAAGAAAGTAGACAGTGGACTCCGGATAACGCTGGTGAGAGGAGACGGCCCTTGCAGGCTCTCCTGGCAGGAGAGACACCCTTGGGATGTAGAGGCTGTAGAGAAGGGGCGAGCAGGTGGGGTGGTGGAGGTGAGCGGACGTAGACAGGAAACTCGGAAGAAACATTATGTCCCTCGACCTCTCCCTTGACTATTTCTAGCATGATACTTGGATAATCAAAAAGTGGTTTTGTTGTGATAATATAGCATTGTATTAAAAATTCAAACCCTGGAGCCAGACTGCATGGGTCCAAATCCGTTTTTGCAACACAGGATTTTGTTGTACTTTTTTTTTTCCCCTCTTTCTAATTTGGTCTTGAGATCTCTCTCAGGATAGTGGCCATAAACTCTAGCCTTGCCCTGATGGAGCCCCAGGGAATTTGGTCATGGATGTTTACAGTGTACCTTTCCCAGGATACTTCTTTATCCCTGGTGCCTGAGTGTCCACCTGTGACCAGGTTTCCCTGTCCCAGGAAACTTCTTTATACTGGCAGACACACTTGTGGCTCTTGTCTGACCTGGGTTCAATTTATTCCTACCAAGATAGCCATTCTCCAGGAGAGCCCTGACCAAGAAGAGAGCTAGGTTCAGGTGTGTCGGTCAGGTGAGATGCACAGGAGGCAGCACAAAAAAGCCCATGCAGTAGCAGAAGCAGCGTGCTTCTTACAGATCCCAGAGAGAAGAGGGCAGCAGGCTTTGCGGAGCCAGTGGGGAGCCAGGAGTTGTCAGAGACATGCACACTCCACCAGTGGGTGGGGAGAGCAAGAGAGAGAGGAGGTAACTGCAGGCCAAAATCTTTACTGGGAACCAGCTCATTACCCAAGCAGGTTTCCCAGGGGGAGTTCTAATTGGTGAGTTTAGAGCAAGCAGTCAGGAGGTCTGTGGAGTCATGGTGTGACTTGGAGGTGGTCTCTGCACATGTTTGTGCAGTCTATTCAGGGTGTGGGGGTCAGTGGGCGAGTCAAGTAGGCTATATCCATATGTCCCATACGGAGGTAGTCACCAGGAGGCCGTGCTGGAAGGCAGATACCTGACTCAGGCACTTTGAGGAACTGGGAGAAGACAGAGAGCTGGAAACCGTCAAGGGTGACTAAGCCCTGCTTCCGTTATGAGAAAGTAAAACTTAGATTCGTAGTGGATGTGGAAGCAACATATAATTATAAGAGTTCATTAGAGTTCTTTTCCATCTGTTAAATGGGAACCATAGTATCAGCCTCATAGAGTTGTTGGGGAATTAAGTAAGTCTGCATTTAATGTGCATAGAACAGTGCCTTACACATAGCGATCATCATACAATTATCCTAACTCTCTTCTGAGATCAGTCTTTTATAAAACTTTTTCCTTTTTGTTCAAACTTACTAAGTCTAAGAAAATCTGTTCCTTTGCTTTTTCTACTGGATGTCCATTAAGCATGATACTTGCTATGGATAAATATGTGTGTTTTTTTCACATTAAGAATATTATCTTTCTATTTAAGAATTGTATGGAGAAATATTTTTTTGCAAATTTAGGCAACACATTCATGACCTTTTATTAGAACGTGAAATATATATACACACTGTAAGTAATATAAATTACAGGGTTTTTTTGTTTTGTTTTTTTATTGCGGGTGGGCACTGATGTTTTAAATTTTTTGTTTGTTTTTGTGACATGGCTTTCATTGTCTTGCTCCATGACACTGAGTCTTTAATCAAGCGTGCAGTATTCAATCTATCCTATTGTTCCAATCAAAAATATACTCTGTGTGTTAACAATCCACGTAACAATCTCAGATAGCAGAGTATCTGAGATTTCACAACAGTCAATCTTACATCCATCATGCCTAAATACTTGGCTTGGCTAACACCTACCACATATTTATTTGTTTTCTAACAGTTTATGTGCATGTGACATTTCAGAGATACTAAGAAATGGGCATACATAAACTTATGGCTTGGATGTCTCATAACATAAGCCTGAATAAAAACAATTTGCTTGTCGTATTTGCTAATACTGGTCATACAAAACCAACAGTTTGGGGACCCATATGTATTTGAAAAGTAAAAGTACGGTGATAAACACTTCCCCTGAAGTGTTGTGGATGTCTCATAACATAAGCCTGAATAAAAACAATTTGCTTGTCGTATTTGCTAATACTGGTCATACAAAACCAACAGGTTGGGGACCCATATGTATTTGAAAAGTAAAAGTACGGTGATAAACACTTCCCCTGAAGTGTTTTCTCTGACTCACATGCTGTAGCCTGGACATAGGTGAGCAGAGAACTGTTCTGATCGCTTCTCTTCACTCCCTCATGTCAAATAGCGAAATGTGTTTTACCTTGACTCATGGTTAGATTTTGCTTCTGTTATATTGCCAAGTACTTTTTCTAACCTTAACTGAAGGTGAGTCTCCTAAGTCATACTTAAATGAGTAACAGCAATTTAAAATTTAAGAATTGTTCAGGATTACTTTTTGAAATACCTTTCATTAAATGCTATAGACAGATCTCTGTATCGGCCAACCGCAAAAAAAAATTAAATTAAAATAAATAAATAAATAATATAGACAGAATGAAAATGAAGGGTTCTGCCTGATTCATTTGATATGTGTAATAAATTGGCAAT